TCTACCCTATATGGCCATTCTCTGCTTCCTTTTGCAATGACCTCCCTGGCATGGCTAACTTTCTGTCTGTTCTCCACAGACATCTCTCTCTTCCTTTCACAGCACATCAAGTATCAAACAAACAAGTACTGAGACAATATTTTTGTGTCAAAATGTATCAAGTGCCAAATTCAATGAGTTTTAAAGCAGTCAAGTACTGAGGTACCACTGTAAGTCATTTAGTATTAATTGGCATGAAAACATACATGGAGTAAAAAAAGCTATTTATTTATTTATTTGATGTATTATAGCCTACCTACTCGAAAAGACTCTAGGAGGCTATTATTCATTTGATAGTTAGATTTATTTCCTGCCTTTTACCGAGGAGTTCAATTATTCTTACACAGGGATTTATAATTTAATAACAATGTAACAAATTGTGCTTAATACCAATTAGGCCAGTGCAAATCTGTCTAAAATAATATATTTTGTTTATTCTGGAAGTCTTAACTTGAGCAAGTAAAAAAAATTATGCAGTTTATGGTGTCTATAGGAATATTTTCACAATAATGGAAGAGCTTTTCTACAATCTTCTTTAAGACCTGGGATTTATTGGTGGTCATACCACCATGACCAAATTAGTAATGACCTGATTTGACCCTGCTTATTATTTTCAAGAATAGCCGAAGTCAATTAGGTACTGGAGAACATCAATAGAAGGTTCTTAGTTGTCTTTGTAAACATTTTCCACATGAATTGTTACTTGGAATTGTTAATTCTCTATTTTTTCTTGAAACACACAGCAATTCTGTGGAAACATAAATAAAATTGTTTAGCATGTTGGATCTTTTAGTACATGTTTAGTGTATGATTGACTCATAGGAAAATATGCCTAGGTTCACTTATCATTTAATCTAAACTAGTGTCACAAATGGCATATATAGCCTAGTTCTGATCATACCCATTAGGTCACCTGACAGAATAGGTAATTAAATCTAATCTTCCTTGCCTCAGTTTCTATCCAAGTTAGTAATTAGTTTTTCTACCATCTTGACAAGGATGTATGAAGCCATTTAAGTTGTTAAATATATTCATGGATAATCATATAAGGATTACTCTTGATGACATTTGAAGGTGCACTCACTAGAGCAGCAGTTGCCAACCGGTGGGTGATGGCCCACTGGTAGGCCGTGAGAAAATTTTGGTGGGCCACAGAGAAATCTCACCCCTAGAGCACCCCCACAAAGCAATTAATCCAGGCTGCGCAGAAACACAAGGCTGCGCCACCCACATGGCCCATGGGAACCTTCCCCGCACAGTCACTCCTTACCTGGTAAACTTGCCTGCTAAATTGCTATTTTTCCTTTTTCCGACCATCATCTGTTCTGCTGCGCCAGGAGATTTATATTAGCTAGGAAGCAGGAAATGGTTGGATTTCTTGCTTTCTAGTTAGTCTTTAGATCTTTGGCTCAGCACAGCCGAACCTCCCTTAGGACTGAAATTTTGCTTACAAGCAAATTCAGTGCAGACTCATGGCAAGTAAATTTGAGAGACTGAGCTAGCCGATGGCAGATAGATAGATCACTGAATGATTCTGTGAGCAACTCAATCTGCCTACTTTGCCTGATTTTGGGTAAAAGTTGCTCTTTTTTTATAAAAAATTCAATATTTATATACATATTTATAATATTTACATACAAGCCATGCCCAGCCAGTCACATGACCACCAAGCCACACCCACAAATTAGGCTACACCCACAGAACCGGTTAGTGGTCCCTGAGATCTAAAATTATGAGTTTGGTAGTCCCTGAGGCCCAAAAGGTTGGCGACCCCTGCACTAGAGAATAAGAATAAGGCTATACTTTGTATTTATATGACACTGTGTTGCTGACTGAGAACCGGAATATTTTACAGAAAATACTAACTTTTATAGTTCAATGAGGAGGTCATTAGTGAATCAAAGACCAATAAGGCTGTACTTAACAGGAAAATTGAGTAATTATTCATAAAATGGAAAAACTAGAGCAAGTAAGTGAATTTATATTGTAGAATGATGTGTGTCTTGGTAGAATATGGAAAAAGAAGAAAAAATGTTGAAACATCCAGATGCTCACAGAAAAAAAAGCATATTTTAATTATATGAATTGTTGCAAGGACTGAGTGCTATTTAATAGAAGCAGAAATGACTGTAAAGAAGATGCTGTGCAGTAGTGAGAGTTGGACACATCAGAATAAAAATGGAATACCATCAGAATGTGGTACCCAAGTATGACTTGAAAAATGCAAAAATAAGGTTAAATCTGCTAAATGAATACAGATTGAAAACAAATATGAATTATTAGTATAAAATAAGAATGTTGAAGTATATTTGTTACATAAGACAGAATGAATGAAGATAAAGTTGCAAAAGAAATATATGAAGAAAGAATAAATAGGTCTCAGGAAAGAGGAAAAGTAAAAAAAAATCCTCAAACTGGATGAGAAATTTCAAGATAAATGGCAGCATATGAAATGGTGTATGGACATCTTGAAAAGAAGTATGATTTGCAAAGGTAGAAAGATAGGAGGAGGATCTGAAGTTTAAACATCTACTTTAATTGTTGTCACTTCCGTCAAAGCCTGCCGCTTAATGATTGGTCAATAGAGGATCAACTTTCAACTGAGTTTATTAAGATTTATAGAGGAATAAACCTTTTAAGCTAATAGTGCTAAATAAAATTTGTAATTGCTCCATATATTCTCTTTTAACATCTCCCAGCCCATCATACACAACTTCATATTCTCTACCATCCCAGCCTTTGTCTTAGAAGGTAAAAAACTTTTCCTCCTCCTCATTATAAGTCAAAATAATTGTCCCAAAAGAGGGACCAGGATAATTTTTTTGCTAACATATTAGTACTAAAATACTAATGAAACTACTGCATTGTGGATGTGTCTCAGACCACGATTTTGCTGTACTTCTCATGTGTAGGTACCTTATTGATCTGGGTAGCTAGAAGAACAAAGGGCTGAATTAGACATAAGAGCAAAAGATTTTGATTTAAACAATATGAACCCCAATCGCATAGAAATATGGCGATTAATTCATCCTTAAAATCAAAACAAAAAGTTGCTTATGCTTGCACCAAGAGAATGTTATTCTGGATTGTAGTGAACATTTTAATTTAGACTTTCCTGCTGAAAGAAAGAATTTTTCATGAATCTGGGATTAATATAAAAATGATGTGATGTGAGTCAATCTTTAAATGAACTCCTTTTGTGCACAGAAATATTTTAAATGCAAATCTGTATGTCATAGAATAGTAATGTATGCCATTCTCTCCATTTGTTACAGAGAATTATATACTGTAAATTCTATCTCTGTAATGTGAATATAATTCCAAATGTCTTCTGCTTTCTATTAAAATATAATCATAAAGTTGGTTTTAAAGCACAACTTTGAAAACCGTTTAGGCCTTTTCCAAGGACCAACTGTAAACAAAGAACTTTTGGCAAATGATAGCAGTTGGAGTTTAGTATTGTCTTTTTTCCTTCCAAGATCCAAACATGAACTTTTATTGCCACTTTCTATCAATCCTTCAAATATTCTAACTAAAAAACTATTAGTGGAACAATTTAGCTTAACTGAATCCATTTGCTTTATAAATTTTGTCCATCTTCTGCTTTTATTGCATTTTGGAATCCTGATTGCATTATTTTAAAACATAGATTGCTATAATACTAATCTGCATGATATGATATCGTTAACATAATAGATTTAGTTTTAATTTTGTTCCCAAAAATGCTCAGGGTATAACTGTGTTTCTGGGTCACTGTATAACTGGTAGATTTTTCATAAAAAACTATTGTGAATGTCTCAAGAACAACTGATATATCTTTTGAAGTATAATAAACTCTTATTCATATCAGCCCAACAGAACAGTCTTTCCAACATTTCTGACAACACTTAGCTTTATTGGGCTTTTCCAGTAGTTTTGAACCTGGTTTACTACAGTGAGTGTTTATAGTTTAGAGGCTAATTCTCAGTCCCATTTCCTGGAACTGCAGGAAATTTACATAATGTTTAAAGGCATCCAAACTAACAAAACTTGGAATGACTCTGAAAATTAAAAACATGCTTATTAGGTCCAACATTACAACAAGTTATTATATAATTACTTGAATTTCTGTACATATAGTTTAAGTCTTTCCAAAAGTGTCTCTGTGTCTATGTCTAAGTAAGAACTAGGTAGTGGTGAGGAGAATCTAGGTGGAATGATCTAGAAAATGAGTACTAAACCTGTTGCCCAAGAAAATTGGTGGCAATTTAATTCACACTGAGAAACAACCAATATGACTGAAGAGAATGGTAAGAGTAGTTTGTTTGGCTGGAAAATGTATAAAAAGAGCAAGAGGAAAGCTTAATGCAAACTTATGGGAAGGAGAAATGGTCTGCATGCTTCCGTAATGTGCGAACAAGTGCCTGAGTTAAAGGGAAAAGATGAATAGTAAGGCATGAAGTGAGAGAAGGAGTGAGCATGTTGCAATTGTTCTATCAAAAATCAATATTTGTAGCAGTGTATTTTGATGGATACTTTCACTATTTTGAACATTGGCAAATATTTACCTCTCTAATTTGATTAAATTGCATTGAATTTCTATTCAGAACCGAGACCTCATTTGAAAAAAAGCAGGTTAGACTGCATTTTGTCTGAAACCTGAACCCATTATTAAAAAAAAAAATTAATAGCTTCCAGAAGTCTAACATATGGCATCCATACAGAGTCATGCACTCATACTGTACATGCTTGATGAGATCACACTGCCTCTTTATAGGTTGGATTATGCACTTTGATATGAATTGAGTCATGTAATAGATTAAAGCTTGCAAAACTAGCCAAACCTGGTGGTTGCGGAGGGTGGGGTGGGGTTAATTTGACCTGGGTTGAGGTTTGCTTTGAAAAAGAGGAAAAATGAGAGTCAGATTTGCTATTTCATGCACAGCCTAATCTCATCTATTCTCATTTTATGCCCCTGCCAGACCACCGCTCTTGATAAGGAGAGGCAGGTTTTCCGACGAAGACGCAACCCGGATGTGAGGGGACGTTTTAAGCCACAGCCACCACCTCCTGAACTCAACTCTGAATCAGAAGACTATTCACCAAGTTCATCTGAGACTGTTCGCTCACCCAATTCACCCTTTTAATACATTACTTCTGTTGAAAGTCCTGGCTTAACCCTTTGAGATTTTGACAACAATTCTTGAAACCATGTGCAATTTTTCCATTTGATTTTTGTCTGTATCAGTTCCTTGACAAAGATGCCAGAAAGGAATTTAATGGTATCTTTATAACAATAGTTTCCTATATGATTGAGATGGTCTTTGTTTTCTTTCTAGACTAGCCTTCTGCAGCCTGACATCCACAGGTGTGGTGGGAGTGTCCTTCCAGAATTTCCAAGCATTCCCATTTCACATTTGAAGAGGACCAGATTGGGGAAGCCTAGTCTAGATTGTGATTTGCTGCTAATATGATCCTCAAAGGGTTAAGGCTATTTTGAGATATACATATAAATATAAATATATATATAATTTTCAAATGGGGATAACAGCAATGAATGTTTTCATCAATTGAGGTAGGAACTATTATACATAATTTAAGCATACGTTAATCCTCTGAATGCTTAATTTTAATTTTGTCAAGCCAAAATGAGGGCTTTATCAATACTTATTTTTCCTACAGGTACTTAATTAGTAATCTGACTTAAGTGCTCCATAATCATAAAATACACACTATGATCTTTATAGAACTTGTTTTTTGTTCTTATGCAGGGGGACAAAAAAACCCCCCACTTAATATACATGGACATTGGTTAGAATCTTGTGGATTGTTTTAAAGGTCAAGAAGAAGATGTATCCTATCTGGATTCAAAAAAATATTGATGGCTCCTAAATTTTGCTAAGAAATATGCATCCCATTCTTTACTGTTTCTTATTCAAAATTCTAACACTCTTAACATATGTTCTGCTTCTTTAAAGCGTTCCATAGGCAGTAGAACTGTCTGAAATCAAACTATTGTGGGTGATGTGGCAATAATCTCAAAATTACTGCCTTCAGTCCCCCATTTGTACATTGAAATGCAGTTTCTGGGGGTGTAGTTGAAAGAATGTGCTATGCTCACATGTACAGGTGCAGACAAAAGACATGTTTAGGAGGCAGCAATAAACACAATCAATTTTTACATACTATGGATTCTTCTGTGAATATTACTGAGATGTTAACTATATACTTATTCTCTCTTCACAATGCTTTGAAAGAAGAACAATTCATTCTACTGAAACTGTAAATCAAGGAAAGGTCTTGAAATTCCAAACATAAATAACTGTTGTTTTTAAAATTACATGATTAGCAATTACTCACCTAATGTGTTTGTAAAAATATATTTACCAGAATTTAGTGAGACAGTGTATGTATGAGACTGGGATTAAAAAAAAATCTGCAAAGAAATGTTCCATCAGTGTTTCAAAAACACATTTAAATTACATTAAGCATCTTTTTATAGTTTTGGTTTTAAATTGTAATATTATTGTAAAATGGTCCATTCACCCATAACTTGAGTTGAATAATAAAAAAAAGTTTCATTTTTACATTATGCTTTTTAAAGTGTTATTAACAAATCTTGAGCACAAATGTAGAGTATTAAAAATTTCATGTGTAGAGTTTCTTTCCCATTTCAGATACAAAAATAATTGGAAAAGAACTGACTGTTGTACTAATGTGTTGCTTTATTATGGAAAAGGTTTTATTTTATTTTATTTTATATTTTTCTTTCTTGACATATGCAACTCAAGATGACAAACACACCAATTCTCTTTTCTCCCCCTGTTTTTCCATAACAACAATCCTGTGAGGTGAGTTGGCTGAGAGAGACCCAACCTTACCCAACCGGTTTTCAAGAAAAGGCAGAAGTAGAATTAAATTCTCCTGCTTTCTAGGCCAGCTACTTAACCACTACACCATTGCATTTTTCATTGCTTAACTTTAAGGAGATTTTTTAAAACTATAAATAATATTTGCACAAATATAAATCAGAGACGGGGTAGCCTGCAGGGGGTTCACGGGTTTGTGAGACCCTCTAGCTAAGATTCTGCACAGTTCAGAAAACCCCCAAATCCTACTCCTGGCTGGCCCCACCCACCCCGTCCCTCCCAGGAGTCCCCACGCAGCCCATTTTGATGCAGGCAAGTGCAGGGTGCGTGCGGAGGCTCAGGGAGAATGAAAAACGCCTCCTGGAAGTTTGGGAAGGCCATAGATGGGCTCGAAGAAAGCCTCTGGACCCTGGGGAGGGCAAAAACAACCCCCCCCCCCCCGGTAATGCAGGAGACCGACTAGGCCATGCCCACCTAGCAACTACGCAGAGAACCCCTTGCTAAAATTTTTGAAGCCCACCCCTGGTTAGAGGGGCATGTGCAAGCCATGATGTTAATACTTTTTCAATTTATAGCAGCAGAAGCTATGAAAATTTGCAATTGACTCATAAATAATCTTTATGCTTAAACTATGTGTGAATCTACATTGTTTCAACAGCTTATATTATACATTCTCCCCAGAAGGCAAATAATCAGATTCTTCCATCTTTCCAAGGTCTGTAAAATGAGGACCCAACATATTAGGGGCAATATGCTGACTCTGAAAACCGCTTAGAGTGGGTTGTAAAGCACTGTGTATAAGTCTAAGTGCTATTGTGATCATGTTTTACTAATGTGGAAAATATCACTCTTGCTCCTAATATTCTTTAGAACTTTTTTCTTTATCACAATTACATTAAAATTTTCATAAATTTCAACAATGTAACAAGAAATAATAGCTTGTTGGATAATTATCAGTTTAAAATATCTGGAACTCTCTCCTCTTTCTGATGATTGTATGATTAATTTGGATGTTTCTTTATTCCCGGTATCAATTTTTGATGGATCTAATCTGATCCTTTTCGTAGCTTTGGCTGTATCAAGGAAAACAATCAACCAACCCAAAATTTAGCAGTATCAAACTTGATTGTAATCCCTAATCAGCATGGAAAACTTCCAAAGCTATTAATACTATAAAAGTGAAAAGAATAATAAAGTGAATTACATTATGGAAAAGATAATATAAAATAAAGTCATTATTCCAATATAATTTTGTTACTCAAAATAAAAAAATGATTTGGACTGGAAAGGCAACAAAGATACTATGCAGGCTCTGGGGATAGATTTCATAAGTGGGATCCAACACCCAAGAAAGCCTCTTTTGTAGTTTTGAACTATTATTTGGTGGAAATTCTTTGACATACTCTTGCACTCTGTAATTATACATCTTAATGTATGCTTCTAGTACTGTAATGCTGAGTTTGTTGTAGTAAATCCTATAATTTAATGACTTATGTAGTAGTATATAGCAGTGGTCACGAACCAGTGGGCCGGGGACCACTGGTGGTCCATGAGAAAATGTTGGTGGTCCACAGAGAATTGTCACACCCAAAGTACCCCCCAAAATAATTAATCCAGGCTGCACGGGAACACAAGGCTGTGCCTCCCACATGGCCCATGGGAACACAAGGCTTGCACCATTTGCATTGCGAACAATCTGAGATAGTGAGGGGAGGGGGGAAGGGCGGAGGGAGGGAACTTGCCCCACCCACCCCACCTGCCTGGCCTGGCCACCGGGCTGCTTCTTTCTGCTTTCTTCTTCTGCTTTTGGCTGTACACAAGGAAAGAAGCAAAAGTCTTTCTTTCTCTCCTCCAAACTCTGCCAGAAATGAGTCTTTGGGACCTTGAAAGGCCTCCTGCTCCAAGAGGCTGCACTGGCAAAGACTCATTTCTGGCGGAGTTTGGGGGGAGAGAAAGACTTCTGCTGCTTCTGCTACTTTCCTTGCATGAAGCCAAAAGTCTCTCTCCCACTGAGAACAGAACTGGAGATGGTATCCTGTGATCCCAAATAAAGAATGATCGATCGGTAGGGAATCGGGGTGAGGAATTTTACTGCAGACTTTTTTAGGGATTTTCCCAGTGTCTCTGGTCCATGGGATTTAAAATTATGAGTTTGGTGGTCCCCAAGATCCAAAAGGTTGGCGACCCCTGGTATATAGGATATAGCTGCTACAGACAGTTGAATTAAATGGTCATTTTTTTAAAGATTTGCAGAATAAAAAAATATTGTATTGCAATATTTTAAAATGAGAAGACTTTTCAGATTTAAAAAAAAGGACATCTCCATGAGCAGAAATCAAGAACTTTTGAATACTCTTTAAAGTTAACTCCCATTAAAAAACTTATTGGGTTTTTTTCCAGCAATAAAATATTTATAACCAAGTTTCTTTTCATAAGTAATTTGGGCCTTCTTTCAAAAAAAAAAAAAGTCTTCCCAAAATGTATTTGTTTTATCAATTTTTATTTTCCAAATACATTTTGGGAAGACTTTTCTATTCATCTGAGCCACCCATCAAGGTGAATGTGTGGCTGACACTTTCCAAAAACATATTGCAGGTCTTTCCAAGATCCAAGAAGTAATTATGTAGGACTTCAATTTGCACAATATTTGTTGAAAGGCAAACTATAAAGCAGGAGTCTCCAACCTTGGCAACTTTGGCTTGCTGTGGAATTCTGGACTTGAAGTCCACAAGTCTTACAGTTGTCAAGGTTGGAGACCTCTGCTGTAAAGTCTAGCTCTTTTACAAAATATTTTCTCGCCTTTGTTTTTTCCATGTATATTTTTATTGGTTACAAGGTAGTATAAAATACAAAATATAAAAGCAAATAAGACAGGGAGAGGGAAGGGGAAAGGGCAAAGAAAAATGAAGGAAGGTAGGGAAAGAAAAAGAAGCCTTGATTTCCGACTCTATGTATTACAGTAGAATAAGACAAACAAATCACAACTTTTTGTTTTACCATAATATATGAACCGGCCATTTCAACAAAAGTGTATCAATCTAATCTGTAAAACCCAGAATCAAAGTTCCATTCTTTTCTACAACAATGAAGTTCAGAAACAGTTTCCATGTGGAAACAAAAGTACTTATGTTTTTTTCTTTAAGCAGAGTAGTCAATGTTTCCATTTCTGCCAACCCCATCAACTTTTGCAGCTATTCTTCTATAGTAGGAATTGAAATGTCCTTCCATTTTTGCGCATACAGTAATCTTGCTGCTGCTAATATATATATATAGTAACAAAGTTCCAATTTTTTTCTCCAATTCTTTTTCCATTATGCTCAAGAGGAAAATGTGGGTTTTAAAAGAAAAGGTCTTACTGCAATCTGACTTCATTTTTTAATTAAGATATTTCCCTCTACTATGGCAATACATTTTCTTCTACTGTGGCAATATATTTTGGCTTCAGAAAGCAGTTTGGGGGTAGCCATGGCATTCTGATTTTGCAAGCTACTGAGCTGAATGAGATGTCCATTAAATAGTATCACAGCTGGCTTGAAAACTCTCCAGACTGGAGTGGAATGCCTCAAGGTTTTGTCCTGTGCCACATTTTCATTAGCAAGTAAAATAGAAGTGGGGAAAATGT